TAAGATAGAAAATAATTTGGTCTTTCTGCTCCTGAGAGGGAGGAGGTGTAATGGGGGCTATGTCTGTGTAAACAAACCCAGTGGTAGAGTTGTAGGTGCTCTGAGCAAGGAGGCAGATGAGAAAAGCTATGTTAAAAAGGAGCTGCTGGGCCGGGCGCGGTGGCTCACGCCTGTAATCCCAGCACTTTGGGAAGCCGAGGCAGGTGGATCACAAGGTCAGGAGATTGAGACCATCCTGGCTAACATGATGAAACCCCATCTCTACTAAAAATACAAAAAAAAAAAAAAGAAAATAGTGGGGCATGGTGGCGGGCACCTGTAATCCCAGCTACCCGGGAGGCTGAGGTAGGAGAATGGCGTGAACCCGGGAGGTGGAGCTTGCAGTGAGCCGAGATCGTGCCACTGCACTCCAGCCTGGGTGACAGAGTGAGACTCTGTCTCAATAAAAAAAGAAGCTGCTGTAACTGAGCCTAAAATTCCAAACGACATGGGTAAGAGAAGGGCTTGTTGACGGAGTACTGAGGGGCCGGATAGCCCAGTGCATTTGGTAAAACTCGGGGCTGGATCGCAGCGTATATCAGTCTTCTTGGGCTGCTATAGCAAAATACCTTAGACAAGGTGGCTTAAACAACAGACATTTATTTCTCTTAAGTTAGGGAGGCTGGGAAGTCCTACATCAAGGTGTCGGCTAAGTCACTTTCTGGTGAGGGCTCCCTTTCTAGCTCATAAATGGTCACCTTCTTGCTATAGCCTCATATGGCAGAGATTGAGAGCAAGAATGAGTGAGGTCTCTCGTGTCTCTTCTTATAAGGACACCAATCCCCTTGGATCAGAGCCCTACCCTAGTGACCTCATCGGACTTTAATTACCTCCATAAAGACCCTGCCTCTAAACACAGTCACATTATGGAGTGCAGCTTCCATAAATGAATTTTGGGAAGACATAGTTCAGTCCATAGCATTGGATGTGACAGGGCATGGCCAGGATCAAACCAGGACAGGTAGGCAAGTGGCCCTGTCATGGCGGGCCCTGTGTGCTGTGTCAAGCAGCCTGAACTTGACCCAGATAAAGTGGTGCAAGCAAACTGTTTTAGGTTAGGGAGTTATAGGATGAGATTTGTCCTCCCAGGGCATCAGGCTCTCCTGGCCCTGCCCCTCAGACAGTTGGGCATTCAGCTTCCTCGTGCCTCTGGATTTCTTCAACAAGGTCCAACTCTACTCCCATGTACCCCAGCAGCAGGAACACATCTCAGAATTCTTCAAGGTTCCCTGCAAATTCCTTCTCTAGTAGATTTGGATTTGAAAGTAGCACTGACCCCCAAAGGGTAGTGAGGAGTTCCAGAGTTATGGAATAGACCTCCAGCATTTCCTTTGGAAGTCTGCATGTGCAGATCTGTTTCACACTCATGTATCTGATATATATCAGGTGGGTACCTCCATCAGGCTAACACAGGAGAGTACCCTGGCACCATCCACCAAGGCTGGCCCTTAGTGATGTTGTCTGTCATAGGATTTCCGTAGTGAAATACCCAAAGCATTTTCTAGCATCTTCATGCCAACCCTCTAAATCTCAGATGTTTGCTCTCTGAGCACACCAGCATAATTCTCATTAATGACTTGTGTGCAGAGTAGAGTGAAATCATTTCTGAAAAGCAGGTGTAAAAGCCCCATAGAGTCAGTCTCATTGGTGAGTGGAGCAGCTGTCAGAATTAGCTGATTTGATTATCTCCTTTCTTTCCTGTTGAAGGCTATTACTCGTGGAGGAGCCCACAAAGAGGCTCCTGGTTTGTGCAAGCCCTCTGCTCCATCCTGGAGGAGCACGGGAAAGACCTGGAGATCATGCAGATCCTCACCAGGGTGAATGACAGAGTCGCCAGGCACTTTGAGTCTCAGTCTGATGACGCATGCTTCCATGAGAAGAAGCAGATCCCCTGTGTGGTCTCTATGCTCACCAAGGAACTCTACTTCAGTCATTAGCCATATCAGGGGTGCATTCTAGCTGAGAAGCAATGGATCAATCACTAATGAATCAGAATTTTTTTTTTTTTTTTTTTTTGATGCTCTTGAAGTATTCAGAAATTCTCCAGAATTTTCATTTCGGGAAAATGTATTGATTCAACAGGGAAGAAACTTTCTGGTGCTGTCTTTTGTTCTCTGAATTTTCAGAGACTTTTTAAATAATGTTATTCATTTGGTAACTGTGTAACTTTCTCTTAAGATTAATTTTCTCTTTGTATGTCTTTTACCTATTAGACTTAATACATGCAACAAAAGTGACCTCTGGAGAAAGCTTGTGGCTGTGTCCTCTGTAATTGGTGGTAACAGTGGTAGGCAGAGTCATGTTTGCACTTGGCAAAGAGAATCCCAGTATTTGACAAAACACAGCCAAGGGGATATTTACTGACCTTTATTGCAGAATGTGGGTATTGAGTGTGATTTGAATGATTTTTCACTGGCTTAGGGCAGATTTTCATGCAAAAATTTCCAGATAAGAGGAGAAAAAGCTAAATGATTCTGATATGTATCCATCAGGATCCCGTCTGGAAAACAGAAACCATTCTAGGTGTTTCAACAGAGGGAATTTAATACAGGAAATTGACTTACATAGATGATAAAAGAGAAGCCAAATAGCAAGAAGCTGTTAACACACCCAGGGCTGTGACGATAATGGGAAGAGGTTTGGTTTCCTGAGTCTAGTAGTAGGATCATCCAGAGGAGCTGGAACCATGGTGGGGGCTGCCTAGTGGGAGGTAGGACCACTAATGGATTGTGGAAAGTGGAGCCATGACAAGGACAAAGCCACTGCCTGAGATGGATTGAACTGAGTCAGATACAGAGAATACCTTGGTCTCACCTCTCCTGCCCTCACATCTTCCACCAGCACCTTACCGCCCAGGCCTACCTGGAAGCCACCTTACCAAGGGCCTTGGAAGAGCAAGGGACAGTGAGGCAGGAGAAGAACAAGAAATGGATGTAAGCCTGGCCCATAATGTGAACATAAGTAATCACTAATGCTCAACAATTCATCCATTCAATCATTTATTCATTGGGTTGTCAGATAGTCTATGTATGTGTAAAACAATCTGTTTTGGCTTTATGTGCAAAATCTGTTAAATCTTTAAAATATATCTGGAACTTTTTAGATAATTCCAAGCCTTATTTTGAGTAAATATTTGTTAATTTTAGTTCTATAAGTGAGGAAGAATTTATGGCAAAGATTTTTGGCACTTTATTTTCAAGGTGGTGGTATCTTTTGAAATCTTGATAAATGACTGTTTTTTTCTGCCTAATAGTAACTGGTTAACAAACAAATGTTCATATGTATTGATTAAAAATGTGGTTGCTTAATTCCTAACCTGTCTGGTTTGCTTTCCTTTTGAAGTCATTTATGACAATGGAGAAATGAGAAAACAGGGTAAGAATTGACCCTATTGGCTGGACGCAGTGGCTTACGCCTGTAATCCCAGCACTTTAGGAGGCCGAGGTGGGTGGATCATTTGAGGTCAGGAGTTCGAGACCAGCCTGGCCCACATGATGAAACCCCACTTCTACTAAAAATACAAAAAAATTAGCTGGGAATGGTGGTGGGCACCTGTATGTAGTCCCAGCTACTCAGGAGGCTGAGGCAGGATAATCGCTTGAACCCAGGAAATGGAGGTTGCAGTGAGCCAAGGTCGAGCCACTGCACTCCAGCCTAGGCGACAGAGTGAGACTCTGTCTCAAAAAAAAAAAAAAAAAAAAAAAAAAAAAAAAGATGAAGAAGAATTGACCCTATTGACTTGACCTCAATACATAATATAATGTTTTTGAAGTTAGTACACTAATAAGTAAGTAATTACTTGGGAAGCCAGGACTCTTCACATAAAGGGTTAATCAACTTAGAAAGATGTTTGTGATGGGCTGCCATTTATTAATTTTGGCAGTAAAATCAGATAACATAAAAGTATCTTTCAAATAAGAAAACTAATTTTGGGTGCATTTATTAGACTTGTCCCTGGTTTTCTGCCATCTAAAATATTCCAAATGTTCAAAATTGGAGATCATAACAAGCATCCACACTGCTATTCCCAGAATTCTCAGGCTGTTCTTTGGAAAATAAGCTATCTAATAAAGGTCTCTATCACAGAAATCAAAGGGCCTAAGAGCATTGCAATTTGAAGTAACACCATACAATCTAGTTATTTGCCTTTTAACCTTCATTAAAGGGAAAGAAATGCTCCCAAGTATCAGGATTAATTTTTCCTGAATTTTCTGGGAAGTTATAGCTTACAGATAATGAATATTACCTTTCATCCCTTAGACTTTTAATAAAGTCTTAGTCCTTGAATACTTCCATGGGCAGACACTTATTTATTGAGATCAGAAATCTGAGTTCAACTTGGAAATGTGTTCAGTCATACCACCTTCATTCTAAACTTTCCAGACTTTTTATATTCCAAAATTCTGATGACAAGTTACCCTAAAGGAGAGCTCAGTCCTGATGAATATACAATCCCAATCGTTGTTCAGAACCCCAGTTCCTCCTCGCAGGAGTATCAGACAGGGCGCTGCCCTTGTCCTATGGGAAGACAGTGCAGACTACAGCATTCCCACTGGCTTTATGAGCTCAAAGCTGGATTTCTGTTTGGATTTTCATTTTCCTCAAGGTGCCATTAGGTTATTTAAGTTTTTAGTTATCGGGTCAGGCACGGTGGCTCATGCCTGTAATCCTAGCTCTTGGGAGGCTGAGGCGGGCAGACCACTTGAGGTCAGGAGTTTGAGACCCGCCTAGCCAACATGGTCAAACCCCATCTCTACTAAAAATACAAAAATTAGCCAGGCGCAGTGGTGGACACCTATAGTCCCAGTTACTCCGGAGACTGAGGCAGAAGAATAGCTTAAACCTGGGAGGCGGAGTTTGCAGTGAGCTGAGATCTTGTCACTGTACTCCAGCAACAGAGCAAGACTCCATCTCAAAAAAAAAAAGAAAAGAAAAAAGAAATATTTTTTTTTAGATGTTTTAACTATTAATACATTCACAGACAGCTTTGGGCTCTGCCCTGGCCTTTTTGTCTGAGCAAATTCCCACAAGCTGTCATCAGCCCAATGTGTTTATGAATTGCTACGAATCGGTCTGAAAGTCCTGCGGTCACTGAATTTACATGATTTAAAACCTCGAGGGAACCAAGGCCTCTCTGTGAGAAAGGAAATGACATCCACCAAAATGCCCTAGACACTGGCTGACAAATCCCTTATTTTGCCCAGTCGTGCAAATCTGAAGTCACCTGAAATCTTTCATTACCAGCTACTCTGGTGAGCAAGGATTGATTGCCTTCGACTTCCGGGAAGCACAGCATTTTTGCCAGCTTTTCCTCTTTCAGGCCCTTTTCCGGAAAACATCTGGCCAGGTAAGAGGCTGTGTTGGTCATCAGTTTATGGCAACAATTCTTCTGTGTTAATTAGCCACTGGACAAATAGCAGCAGCCCAGGTATCCTGAAGAGTTCTTCGAAGACATGCAGATCAGAAAGCTACTTTACACTGTGTGCCTTGTAAATGTTTTCGTGTCTTGCAACACTGAGCGAGTGCCTGGACTGGCCACATCAGCATCCCCTGGGAGCTTGTCAGAAATGCAGACTCTCAACCCCGCCCCAGACCTACTCAACGTGAATCTGCGTTTTAACCAGATTCCCAAGTGGTCCATGTGTACATTACAGTTTAGGAAGCTCTATTTTGAGGGCAAGGACCATGTGTGTGTGTGTGTGTGTATATATATATATATATATACACACACACACACATTTTGGTCTTCCCTCTGCACTGAACATGGAGGTGATAGTACATACCTACAAAGAATTAATAAAACAATATTTCGGAGCTTTCATGGAAGACAGATTTTCAAGCTCTCGTAATCTCTTTTAAAACTCCACGATACCCTTAAAGTATATAGTACACTTTTTACTTTCTTTACCCATCTCCCTGTTAAATAAGCCTTTGCTGCATAAAAGGATTATATGATCTCAAAGTGTCTGTGAATGTGAATTGCAGCCTTTAAAATGTTTTCATAAACATAATGGTATTAAAGGAGCCATTTCTTGCATGTTTTTGTTGGTGGCAGAACTGCTGAGCATTGAGGCTTCAGAGCTTGTCTTTTCCACCCGTCCTGTCCCCAGAGCCCAGTGGACACTAGAGCCAGTGTGCCCTCAGGCCATAGGTCACCTTTTTGTTAGACCTCAGGGCTTTGTTTTGGATCAGGTGGCAAATAATTCTTTTTGATTCATAAATCATTAACACAAACACACCAAGGGCATATGTGGAAAGCCCAGCCACTACCACAGTACTGATGTGGACGCGGAAACTCCATTAGCTTGTAGGTTCATGCAGGTACGGCTCTCTAAAAGTACGCAACAAACATCAGAAAACGCAAAAGTCAAATACGACGAGTTTGCTTCGGGGTAAGTTTTGGTTTTTATGGCACTATGAATATTTATGGCACTACAGTTTTCTAACAAATTTGTTGTAATCATTTAAAGCCAAACTGTGTCAAAGAATTTAAATTTGGAAGGCACATGGGTTATGGCTGCAAATAAACAAGGCTGCGCATTTCTCAAGCTTTAAGGGTCTGGCCCAAGTAAATAGTGTAAGATTTAGTAAAGAGGAAAGTGTAAATGGTAAGATAGGTTTGGTCTCCGTTGCTAGTTCTAGCTTCAGCTATTTAAAGCAGATCTCAATTAGTACAGCATCAAACTTTTTAGCAGAGGTGCTTTTAACCATTCATGTTTAAAAATTAGGCTCTGAGTCTGATCCAAGTTCTAATCCTAACTCTGTCATTTAACCATTTAATACTCACATAACCTTAGGCCGTCCTTCAGTTTCCTCATCTACATATGAGGATGGTAATGTGAAGATTAATGAGATAATGTATAGGAAGTGCTTAGTGTAATGCCTGGCACAAAGTTGTAACCAAAAGAGGGTCTAGCTGCTCACCACTTATAGAAAGAAGCCAAAATAACAAGAACGAGGTGTGATCAAAAGAGAGAGAATTTTATTATCCATTGCCAGCAAGGGGAAAAGGTCAGAATCCTTTCGGAAAACTGCCACCTTTTCAATTTCTGGAGAGAGGGCAACGGTTTAAGAATAGAGGCTTGGAATACAGAGAGGTAGGAGGGGCTAGGAGGTGCCAGGTGGCATGTTTCACTCCGATGGCTTATCTTGAATTATTATTCCAACTGGCAAAGGGGCCAGTGCCATCTTGGGCCCAACCAGGTTACAAATTAATTGCAGTCAATCGTGCAGTTAATGTCTCGCTGGAAGTGAACTCCATCCTTGAAGTCATCTTCTACTCGGGAGAGAATTCCAGAGATGCCTCATCCATATCAGGATTCGGCCCCTGAAGCTTCTAAGGAAATACATGACAAGATAAGTGGGCATGGTGTGAGCGTAACAAGAATCTAGGTAAATAAATGTGCATAGGCATGGGAGCATAAGGTGGGAAAGGAAAGAAAAAAAAGGTTCTGAAAACAGTATTTGAAGCTAAGCTACTCGGTTACAAAGTAATGGATGAGTAGTGGATATCAAAGATGATGGTGATGAATGATGATGACGACGATGACATGAGGCTCATGGAGGGGCAAGAATGGAAGATGCCCTCCTGGATGCCTCCACTTGCTCTTTCTACCTCCAGGTCTCTTCCTTGGTCATGCTCTTCAGTCTATGCTTTCAACCTGAGGTCTCCCAGAAGTGAAGGGATTAGATCAGCGATTGCTTTATTCAGCAAACATTCGAAGAGTCCTACTAGATGCCAGATGTTATATTAGGATGAGGGTAAAAAGATGACCAAGAAAGGATGCTTATTTCAAAGGAGGTGAACAAATCCCTCCAGGGCTTAGTGGCTGTAACAGAGTCATGTGCACATTACCCAGGAATACAGAGGGGGTGCATCCTGCCTGGGGAGTCCGAGAGGGGTTCCAAAGGAAATATTTTCATCATCTTCCATTCCAGCCTCCCAAAAAGGCTGAAGGGATGGTGGTGGAGAGGAAATTAAGGTTAGCAGGCAGAAGACGGCCTGAGAATTCCTGGAAGATCTGTTTAGGAAGGAAATCACTATGCCCCACCGCATCCTCATTGCAAATCAATAGGTCTGGGGTGGAGACCAGGAATCTGCATGTTTAACCAACCTTCCTAGATATTCTGAGGCAGGTGGTCCTCAGACAACATGCTTTATTCTGATACCAAAAATCCGCAGGAGTGGCAGCAAAGCCCAAATTAAACAGCCGGAAAAGATCACCCAGGGGCCAGCAGTGCATTGGCTGTTCGCAGACCCAGCTAGCCATCCTATCCCCAGATTGAATAGCAAAGGATTGAGGGCATAAATGAGTTCAGTACTGGAGCGTTCTTGTCCAGGAACTTCCAGAGGCTGCACAGAAACACCAAACCCATGTTGACAGGCTGGTTTGAGGAAGGCTGCGAAGTGTGAGGGAGGGGTGGATCAGCAGATAGCTTTCAGTGCATGGGTCCAGGTGCACTGGCTTCTCCAGCTGGTGTCAGCAGGCGCACCTCTTTCTCTTCCTCTCGATTGCATCACTTAGGCAATCATTTCTAGACAAGATGGGCCACTCGTGTATTCCCTCTCCTCCAGTGCCTCATAGGTGCCACAATGCAAAATGCTCCCCTTAACAACATTTTGAGGTTGACATTTTTAAAGGAACTTTTCTCTACAGCACCTTTTGTAATTAACTAGATTAATGTTAAGTAGTGAAGGGAGCACAGAATTCTCAAGTGAATGTGTGGTTTGTTTTTTTATTTTTTTAATATATTAGGGTATAGGACACATTCTCAAATGCTTAGGAAAATCAGCTTTTGCAAATTATCTTTTCTGAAGCTTCCAGCTGCCTTAAGTGCTGACAGTTTTTAAGCACTGAGATGAAATAGACAAATTCTTTTTCTTTTATGTTGCTAATTACAATTTTGCTTGGCATAATGTAGCCTGCTTTCCTCTTGAGACATTTGCCAGCATACATTAATTGCACAAATATTTACAGAGGGCTAAAGCACAGGAGAAGCTTATACCAAACAAGATACTGAACACTTGGAAAAAAGCCTCTTTGACACATATTTGTGGCCAGTTACCCAGAATCAGCATAAACTATTTGCCCCTTAGCCTCAGCAAATGTGTTTAAAGAACATGTCCCTGGGTTGATTTAGTGTTGACTTTGCTGGCAATGACTGCTGAAATCTTTCTTCCAGAACCTTGTGGTGACAACTTTTTTTTTTTCAGGGTTAAAAATAAGGTTTCCAAGAATATGTATGCATCTTATGGGTTGCTATATTGTCAACACTTTTAATCTCTCAAGTCACCCACATGGAATGGAAAAACGTTTATCCAATGATTGTTCCACACCCCAGGAGTTGCAGAAAGCCAAATTGAGCAAGTCTGGAAAACTTGAATAGCTAAGCCACCAGGCCCTCAGTACCATCTTCTTGTTTTCCTAGCATGCTAATTAAGAAAAAAAAGGCCCTGGTGTCAGACAGTCCCAGGTTCAAATCCCAACTTTGGCACTTCCAAGCTGTATGACCTCAGGAGTCTCTTAATCCCTCCAAACCATTCCTCTTTCATCCTCAGATTGAATTAGTCCTATGTGAGTACCTAGGAAATAATGCCTATCTCCACAGGTCTTGTGCCCACCTCACAGGGATGTTGGGCAGAGCCAAGGAAATAACACTCAGAAATGGCTTTGCAAATTCCCCCAAAATCTAAAATCAAATAAGGAGACATTTCCTTTGTTTTGTGTTGTTATGAAAACCGAGTCATCAAGCAAAAGGCAAGTAAATGTTGGGTTGTGTTTTTTAAACCAGCTTGATCTTATCGATAATTGAGGCCACAGAAAGGAGATAAGGATGGGGGGAACAAAAGGACATGGAAATGATGCTGACATACAGAAGAGGTTCTTTTTGAGCATGACGGCTACCCATGCAATGGAGAGGAAGAATGTCTTCCAAAAGCGATGTAGTCAAGCTGCTGGAGGTCATAGGCAGGAAAGAGAAGGGCATAAGATGCTGGCCTGAGCTTCAGAAGACGAGTCAGCGCTGAGTGTAGAGTTGCCATATGAAATAGAAGAGGCCCAGTTAAATTGGAATTTCAGTTAGAAAAACCATTTTTTAATATATATATCCCAACTACTGCACAAAATATACTAAAAACTTAATTGTTGTTTATCTAAAATTTCAGTTTAAATGGGTGTCCTGTGTGAGTGGGTTTTTTTGTTTTTTGTTTTGAGACGGAGTTATTTTTTGTTGTGTTTCTTTGTTTATTCTCCTCAGTTTGGCAGCCCTAGCCTAACTCTGTAGACCACTGCCGTAGCTCCATTGCCTCATCTCAGTCCTGAATGCCCACCTCACAGTGATGTTGGGAGGAGCCAGGAAAATAACACACAAAAATGGCTTTGCAAACTCCCAAAAAAATCTAAAATCAAGTAAGGAGACATTTCCTTTGGTGGGTGTTCTTATGAAAACTGAGTCATCAAGCAAAAGGCAAGTCTTTGTGAGTTTAAGAAGTATGGAAAATTTCAAGGAGTCTATGGAGTTGATTTTTTTTTTTTTTTTTTTTTTTTGATAAAGTCTCACTCTGTAGCCCAGGCTGGAGCGCAATGGAGTGATTTCGGCTCACTGCAACCTCCGCCTCCCGGATTCAAGCGATTCTCCTCCCTCAGCCTCCTGAGTAGCTGGGATTACAGGCATGGGCCACCATGCCCGGCTAATTTTTGTAGTTTTAGTAGAGACGGGATTTTGCCATGTTGGCCAGGCTGGTCTCGAACTCCTGACCACAGGCGATCCACCTGCCTCAGCCTCCCAAGTGCTGAGATTACAGGCATGAGCCACCACACCCGACCAGTGGAGTTGATTTTTAAGTTCTAAAGACTCTAAAGAGAGGGACTATATGTGATGACTGTCGACACCAGCAACACCTTAGAGTCACCTGGAGAGGTTTCTAATCTCAATGCCCAGGCAGCACCCCAGACCAACTACATCAGGATCTCTCAGGCTGGCACCCAGCCATCAGTGTTGTTAAACCTTTCCAGGAGATTCCCATTTGCCTCCAAGCTTCTCACCAGTGGTAGAATAGTCCCAAAGGGGTGAGTTGAACAGTTCAGAAACTTTAGAGCATAAGGAGAGTCCTAAGGGATAGCTACGCCCTTTATGAGACTGGTTATAAGAGGGGGAAGAGGAAAGAGAAAACAAAACAAAAAGCAGGAGAGAATTTGCAAAAAAAAAAAAAAAGATATATTCTATCAGCTTTTTCAAAAATGTATGTTTTAAAACACTAAAATAAGTACCAAGGGCAAAAGAACATGATCACTTTAAAAAACAGGAAATTTGGGTATGTGCTAGAAATAGTTGATTAAGTAAGAATGCCAGGTAAGAGTTTGCTATAATCAACCAGCACCTAACAGTGTCC